TACAAAAATTAAGGTAGTTATGAATTAAAATAATACACAAGTAAAGCTAACAGTTACTCCCTGTTGAATATAACAATACTTAATCTTCGAACTTATCGAAATGATAAGTTAACGATAATAGGCCCCCTTTGTTACAATTCATTTCTCAATTTCCGGTTCAGAATACACTCGTCATCTATTAGATTTTTGGCTTATATATTGTATATAGCAAAACATAAGAGATTTACACAAAGAAGGCATAAATAGGTACAAGTTGACAAATAAACATGTAAGCATCAAAATCCTCCAAGTTACGGAGACATCACATGCGAAGACTCGCTTTACCTGAACATTCAAATTCACAATATTTTTGGGTTTCTTTTAGCACTTACAGGTAGTAAGCCCTTTACTCGTACATTACGCTCATTTCAGTATGTTCAGGTTCCTCTGCACTTTTAATCTCAGTGCTGCAATCTCAACTGCTTCATTAGATTTGGCAGCAAAAATTTCATTGCTTTTTAAGGTACGTAATTTGCAGCCAATTGCTATACGCCGTACCTTATATTTTGTGTTCCATATTCCTTTGCAACGACAATGAAACTGAATAGTCTCATTTTAAGAGTTTTTTTTATCAACAACCTTGTAACAGTTCAGAAATACTAGGGTTGAAGGCTGTTGATTTATGAACGAGCTATGATCACAATTGTACGTCAAGGTCCTGTGTAGTGATGCAACGGAAGTGTCCTAACGGAAACAAGTGTCAAAAGTAAATCTTAACGGAAACGGAAGCGAAAGTGTAAATAGTATAAAGAACTCAACAAAATTCCAACAGGGCTTGTTTCTGGTTTCATAATTTACGTGCAATTATCACACAACACAAAACTACTAAAAACGCGCTCCACCGCTAAGTAATCCGCACTAGCGCCTGGTCCGTCGCAAACGTTGAAAACTTTCGATTAAAGTTACGTTATAAATGTTGCGGAAGCAGAAATCGAAACACATATGAAAGGATCTGCGAAACTTCCGCAGTTGCGGAAGCAGAAGCAGGGGTCTGTTGCATCATTAGTCCTGTGTATTACTTACACAAGCATTTGGACGAATAAGTCCAAACATTACTCTTTTCTATTGTAGAACGATCAGTTCTAGTGTTTCATTATCATTAGAATAAATAATAAAATTATTTTTGAGCAATCATTTTTGTAAGAATATTACAAAGTAAAAATAGATAGTAGAGGTACATAATGTTATGAGGTCTTACATATTTTTATATTTACATATATGAAACATTAGGATTGATCATGTCGCATTATTTGTATGAAAACAGAATTGACAGAACAGTGACATACCATCTTTAGTGTGGAAAATACTCGCTTCTAACATTTAAATTGGAATCGTTATGGACACATATAATATAGAAATTTTTAAGCCTAAACTAATTTAACTTTTCTAAAATTATTGCCATCCTTTTCACCCGTTGTTAATGGATACGGTACAGCATTATTTTTTAAACTTAGTAAATTAGGTTAGATTCAAAAATTTATACAAAAGAAACCAACGTTCCATAACATTCCATATAAGTATAAAATAAGTACATTTTTTCTTTTAAAATCCATCACAAGTGGTACATGTATATAATGCTGCCAAAAATTCTATCCTTCGAAAGTCACGAGAAACACAAATTAAAAATTTATTTATTTACATGCCAACACTATTGCCTGCTCGAATGTTGTACGGTCTTAAGTTCTTAACCGGAATGCGTAACGACTGAAGTTTGGCCTCCTGGAAGTTCCCGGACAATTGGAGTGGTAGTAGCCGATGACTGTTATTGCGCTACCGGACAGGAGGACGAGCTATAGTTTCTTGACCCTTGGCAGAAGAGTCTTGGTGAACACGGATAAGAATTTTGCTAGAAGAGCGTGTTAGCTACCTCGTACCGTAAATAAGTAAGTAGTGCGTGCTGCGACACTTCAGTGACCGAACCGTTTGAAGAAACAGATATAATCTTTGGCAGGACAACGTAAATAAATAAAACCAAATACTCGTACGTATTATCATTTTAGACAAAATTTAAAATAGTATAATTTGATTGACATTCAATCTTTTACACATAAAGGCAGTTGTAAAAAATTTATAAATTGTTATATTTTAAAAATATTTTATGCGTCTGAAAAGTCCTATCTATTTACATACAAAAGTCATAACAATTATGGACGACAATTTAGGGGGAGGGAAGTAAAATACTAATATGAAGACATTATCATTAAACTTGTAAAAATCTCTACTGAAGTGATGCTTCCAAAATATGGCACTGTAAAGAATTAAAAGTTACTCTACAAATGTTCAAAATAAATATTTAAGTACTAAAATTGTATAAAGTTATTAGCTCTATGAATAAAAATATTTGTACACGTCAAAGTTCAAAATAGCTGCTACGTGTTACCAAATACAAAATTATGTTTAATGGAGCTACCAACTTAATATATTACTAAAATTAAATTCGATAAGTATGCAGAAAAATAATGGTGGCACACAAAAATACAAAGCGTTTTATCATCACACTATTTTATAAAAACTATTTATCTATAATCGGGCAAGTAGATAATGGATTATTTACGTAGACTTAATAATCCAGCAGATAAAAGATTAAAAAAATTTAAACCTATCGTAAGTACTGTTTATTGCTTTATGAATAGAGAGATCTCTGAGTTAATAAGATTTAAAATAGAAGAACACAGAAAATGGCATGACTTTATTGCAATTGGCACAAACGGATATTTTAATTTCATAAAGTAAGTAAATAAAGCGTTGAATCGCGTGCGTTTCTTAATGCTACTTATATGAACTCTACCTTATACTTTTATCAGTAAATTTTCTACCGTTCTAATTTGTGGCCGAATGGAAATCTATAGGTACTGTAGAGAAATTATAAGTTGTTATGCTGCAGCAAATTATGAGTTGTTGTCGTTTTAATGACTTTTAACATTATGTTACACATTGATAGTAAACACTCAATGAGGACTTCACAAGTAATTACTGAAAATATACAATAATCAAGATAGTTACAAGAAAGTACACAGTTAAATGATATGTTTTAGGTTTCAGTCTTCAGAAAATGTAGCATTTTGGTATATATTCACGTAAATACAAACATTACAATTATGTAGGTATCATTTAATTAATAGACGTGTTCATTGCGTTAGCACCTGTACCGTTTAATTATATTTTCGGTACAAATAGTGTGTTAATCGATTGCCTATTTTGTCGGGATACGGAGAAATGCACTATACGTACATTTCTGAGCTGTATCTAGTGCGCTACATGCGACATAATGCGCTAAACGAGAGTTTTTTTCTAGTCCTTTAGTGCGCTGTACGCGAGAAAATACGCTGCATGCGAGATATTGCGTTAAACGCGTTTTTTTTCTAGCCATTTAGTGCGCTATGTGCGTGATAGTGCACGAAACTAGCAATTATAGGCAATTATTCTTCCAAACACATTCATTAGGTACCTCTTAACAATTTCTTCGGAAAAAAATTAATACGAAAATGTTTTCACAACGTTACATGTTTTCACAACATTACATAAATTACGTATATTTATTAAGTTTTTTTGCCGGAAAATGGTTTTTTGCGGACTAGTAAAAATAGTTTCCGAGCCACCTACCTATCTCAGTGCAGGTAAGACAATACAATATGTAACTATCGATGTGCCTACAATTATGTTATTATTTACATAACCGAAATCAACGATATATAGAAAAATTACCATCTATTTAAACGATAGCACTTAGAATAACTTGCATTATTTTTGTTTTCGAAAATGTATACCCAACAGTCCACAATATTTCAACGGATAATTTAAAATTCCCATAATTTAGTTTTTGATGAAATATTGGATTACAAAATGTCCCATATGAAATCTTTAAAAACAAGTAAAATTTTGACGAAAAGTGGTCCCAAAACATTTCGAGTAAGTACCTTACATCGTATGTACAGTCAAGAACACGTCAAGCATGCCACTTGGAACTTTGGACCATTCTCATTATAAGCTGCACAGAGCCGAATTTCAACCATAAATATCAAGCTCGATATGCTCTTGACTCAAGATATTATCAACATATGTTACTTAATTTTTTACTGACTAGACATATTATACTATCTTTCACTAAGTTTGCTTTCATTATTAAACTTGACTTTGTACCCTCATTATTAGTAAATTTCCCTGGCCTTAGGTTCAGATCCTTCAGGCAAGCGCAGTATCAGAAGGGTATAAAGCCAATCTTCAGTTATTTTCTTACGTATATGTGATTTTCCCCATCACAGTAAAAATATTTCCATTACCCAACATTTTTAACACATTTTAAAACTATAAAGTTTTTTTGTAAAATACTGAAAATTTGTAAATAATTTTAAAGAGGCAATATGAAATAATATACATATTTTTAAACATGTACAATAATAAATGCAACTTTGTTATATATTGTAACTTAAAGCAAAGCTGTAAAATTATTTGTTCCTGTAATATGAATGTAATAAATTTATTGAAAAATATTGTTTTTAAACTTCAATTCTCAAAAACAACATTTTGCCAATAACTTTGTATACTATTGGTATAACACTTATTTGATACCACACCTTAGTTTTAGAAAGTAAAGAAAAAATGAATATCATCTTATTAATTGTGATGCCATTAGAAGAAAAATGAATAACCTATTATATGATAAAGTTATAAAAAAATACTGCATTGATTAATAGTATTAAAATCGCATACAACAGCACGTAGCATAAAAGATTTTTTTTCATAGAAAATAGCATAAGAGATAGAATACAAAAATATAAGGAATTATTCCATTTCCATATGCTATAACCATTGACCTACCATAGGTCAATGGCTATAATGCAAGCACATACTAAATTTTATTTACTAATGGTATATATTATCAAACTAATTAGATAGCTTTATTATTCACCTAAATCATTAATTTAATAATAATTTTACCTCAAACATGTTTGAAAGGCTGGCATGTATTTATCCCCAATTAGATCTACTGCGCAATGCATGCATAACATTTGGTATTTTTTTACATCTTAATGTTTACAACAAAAATATTAACAACATAGTTGTTACAATGTGTACTATTCAAGTACCTACAACTTTTTCTTCTATAAATTTAATACCACTTTCACCATTACATATGTCTAATAGAAGTATTAATATTAATTTACAAAATCATATATTTTAATTCAATACAATATAATATTGTAACATTCTTCCAGAACATGATCCTTCACTTAGCACCTTAACTGTTACACTCAACTGCATCATTATTACATTATATCACATTAGATTGCACATCCAGAACCCATTACAATCTACCTAGAAGTCGCAAAAATGTAGTTCTTGAAAACTTCTTTGTTTCCTGTGTTTCCCACACCACTATCCTCCAGTCCCATTAAAATATTGAGCATGCTTTGTATAGGGTGCTGCAATGTGGTATGGTGGGGGCTGACCACGGTCATAAACTGGCTCTGCTACACTTCTAGGACTGTTCTGATGGCTAGTCACACTTGGTGGATTTGAAGAAGCTGGCATAGTGTCATATAAATCGTACATCTCCTGACTAGTAGGAGAATGCACGTGACTATAGCTGCCGTCATCTGATATCAAAGGAGTATTTGTCATGCGGTATGGATTAGTGGCGTTAGTATGTCCTGTAGGAGAATAAAGATCTGGAGACTGTGAAGAGATATAGGTTGGACTCTGAACTGCAATACCATAAATATTGGCATTTGGAGAGTGTGTCTGCTGAGTGGGGGGAGGATAATGATGACCGTCATTACCAGGACCTGAATAGATATTGTTATAATTGCTTAAATTTGGCATTGTGGTGGAACTAACAACCTGGCTGACTGTATGCAACCTAGGGCTTGGTAATTCACGACTCTTGTGGGGTTGATAAGTATATGTAGGAAAATTGCGTTGTGCATACAATTTTTCTTTAGCTCTGGCATATTGTTCACTGTCATAAGCAGATTCATGGTAATTTCCTTCAGATAGACGACTTGAGAATACTTGATCATTCCTAGGATACATAGGTTCAAATGGAGGCATGTTGTCCATCATTGGTCTTGAGTGATACTGGTTCCCTTCAAATTGAGGTTTCAGTATACTCTCATTGTTAGCGTACTTATCTTGTGAGCTGAGACTTAATCTTTGGAGTCGATTGCGAGTTTCATCTAGACTGCTTCTAAAACCGCCTTCATTAGGATTTTGATAGTTTCTGTGAGAACTGTAGATGTTTTGTCCAACTGGAGCACTATTTCTATCTACATCTTGCCTGTAGGTATAAGTTTCATTTTGTTTATTTACATAATTTCTTTGTGACCCATGATAAAGCTCTTCACCATCGTTTTTAAAATCAGTGTTATTGTCTCCACTATTTTCAGGATATAATGCGTGGTCAACGCTTTTATAAGTATTGTCTGGTTCATATGTGAGATCTGAAGGTTTTTCATAAGAGTTTTCAGTCGGAAGATTGTCATAAACAGATATCTTCATAGGATCAGCATTGTTCTCATCTGGATTATCTATTCCATCATTTTCCACTTCTTTTTTGTTATCAGAGGCAAATCGTTGCTGCAAAGTAGGAGTTATTTTTGCTGCTTTGATATGTACAGCATTTTGCATTGGAGGTGTTACATCTTGTGCACCATCTTTATGGATATTTCTGGCATGTTTAGCCAAAGCTCTTAATTCTTTTGGATATGGAGTAGGAGCTCTTCTCAGTTGCCCTGGCTTCTCAGGTACTTTAGGAGTAGCTTTCATGTCTACAAAACTAATATGGCGAGCAGTAGGTTGTGTCTCATTATTCTCTTGTTTTTCCTCTGATTTTATTTCAATAGGACTTAAAGGCACTTGGGGAAATAGGAAACAAGTGAGGACCTGCTCATATGTGTGTGGGTCTACTTCAGAATGCATAGGCACTAAAGGCTTGCTTTGGTTTTCTGATAGCCAGATAGCTACCAAATTTTCACAATTTAACAAAGACTGAGGAAGACAACTTAGAGAGTTCCTCACTAGATTTAATACTCTCAATGAGGACAAATGACCAACCTCTGGAGGAATCTTTGACAACTTATTTCCTCTCAGGGACAATACAGATAGTTTAGAACAGCTGCCTATTTCAGGAGGAACTAATCTTAACATATTGTCATCTATGTTGAGGTACTGTAATTTCCTGAGCAGACCAATAGATGAAGGCATTTTGTCAATATAATTGCACATAAGCATTAGCTCTTCAAGATTTGCCAGTTGCCCTATACTGTCTGGTATAGAGTACAATCTGTTGTTATCCAGTTTCAATGCAGTCAAATTACTAAGCTGTCCAATAGAATCTGGAAGCTGCGTCAAACTGTTCACTGACAAACTCAGTTCTTGTAATTGCGAACAGTAACCAATCTCAGGAGATAAATCTTCAATCATGTTATTGCTTGCCTCCAAGTGTATTAAATTTTCTAAAGGCTTTATAAATGCTGGTATATTAGTAAAACTGTTGTTGTCAATCCAAAGTTCTCTCAATTTGGTAAATCGTCCAATGACCTCAGGAAACTCTTGGAATTCATTTTGTCCTATATCAAGTCTCAGAAGTTCTGTTGAACGAGACAGTGACTTTGGTAAAATCATCAAGTAATTGTCTCTCAACTCTAGAATGCGTAAATGGGCAAGTCGTCCAAAGTTTCCAGGCAGATATTCAAGATAAGTATCATTCAGATAAAGATCTTGTAAAGCAATAAGATTTGTGATAGCATCCGGAAGTTTTTCTAATGGATTTGCACTGAGATCTAAAAACATGAGGTATTTCAAAGATTTCATAGTATCAGGTATGGAGGCGAGGGAGTTCCTACTAATGTTGAAATGTTGTAGGTGTACCAGTGAAGACACTGCCGGTGGTATGGTTTGCAACTCATTGTCGCTGAGGTCCAGATACTTTAAGCCATGGCACATGAAAAGCTGCCGCGGCAGCTCTTGTATCCGATTGCTCTGGCAGAGTAACGTCTCGAGCGTCCTTTCGTATACAAACACTTCCGTGGGCACATCCGTCAGCGACTGGTGCGAGTAGTCCAGCTCCACGACGTCCTCGACGCCGGGCCTCACGCAACATAGAAAGTCGAAAGGCATTTTTTCCAAAGACACTTGTACTCGGAAAGTTAGATAATTTTTTTAAAAGCAATACTAACGCACTGAGCATCCTTTACAGCGATATACATAATCGCTGATTTCTTATTAATAATTTCCACTACCACTACATTTCATGTGCAATACTAAATGCACTATATTGAAAACAATAAACTAAATAATTGCAAAATTATTCCGAATGAATCACTGGAATTTGTGACTGCCTGGCCTTCCCCTCCCGATCCGTCAAATGACATTTATCGAGTCCCTATATTGCCCAACACAGCAATGTACGTCACAGTAATGCTCGACCCGAGAATGTCCACCCCAGGAATCCGCGACACAAGAATCCGATGCATACGGCCTCTGATTGGCTGCGTGATCTGTACTCCTATTGGTGGAATCTGTCTGACAGTTCACGAAAAGAAATGGGTCGTGTTCACAATGAAGCTCAAATTGAGCTCAAATTAAACGTCAAACGTCAAAAATTATAACCTTTGCGATAATAAATGTTATCAAATTTTTCGATATTTTCAAACTTTTTAGTAAAAGAAATGTCCGACAACTTCAAGTGGAAATTGACTGTTTTGGTGCGTTGACTGTGGAAGGTAAATCCGTCATAAGAAGAGGCCAAGAATCGAAGAAACTTCCTGAATCAATGATTTTCTACACCAAACAATACTACAAGACCCTTTCGATTAGACTAGCTTTTGAGCAAACGAGAATATAATAATTTCATTTTCTCAGAACTTCAGAAGTGGAGAATGTAAGTTACTAAGTATACAAATAGTTTGTTATTCGTCATTGTCATCATCAGTCTATTACTGTGTAGTGTCCCACTGTTGATGCAATTGCCTCCCTCAGACATGGAAGCTTGGTCTTTAATACTTCGCGTAGACCCATTGCGGGTTGATGGATTTTACATGCCTTTAATATCCTCGTGATGTTTTCTGATACCATCAGAGTAATTCATTGTAAACTCTGATGTCTGTTGTAAAGGTTACCAGAAAATTCATTTTTATGTGCCTAGACCGAAGTAGAGATTTCTCTAATTAGAGTTGTAATACATTCATTATATACAACATAACTTTAGAATGAGAACTTAACTTGATATTGCAACTAAAGAATGAGTAGGTACTAATGTTTTTTGAAATGTTTCAGGTGTTTCTTCTGCCGCTGCGTCTAGATGACCACCACAATTAACTGCATCATCTCAGCTTAATGTGGCTGTGCTAACCATCACCGCCTTTACATTGGTTTTTGTTATAGTGCACTAACTAGATGCTGCAGGCATACAATAATTGCCAAAGTCCGGAGAGTCAGGCCACAACACCTATATTCTACTAAGGTTGATATCTATCTTATTTTTGTGTTTACTAGGCAATCATGATCGCAGAATTGTTTAGTAGTCAAGTGAGAATAGTGTAGTGAGAGTACCCACAAAATTTTTCAATCTCTTTAGAAATTGCGTAATATATTTAAACTATGATAATTTGGAACAAAATTATTTATGTCCCATTACTGGTACTATGCAATATTATATTTATATTGTGCCTGGTAATGAGGTAATAAGGTAATGATGAATAATAAACAGCCAATTATACAAGAGACCTTTTATTTACATTTCACACGAGACCTTAGGTAGTAAAGCAATACCTCTGTTGAATTTGTTTCATTTAAAATATTTCTTCACAAATCCAAGAAAATAATGAATTAATGGCTAACTTGGCCAGGGATTACACTACATTATACTATGATAGGCATTAATAAAAATGAAGGCTTCATCCTGGAGATGTACTTAAGTGTGTAGTATAGCAGATATCAAATTATGTATAAGGTTTATTATTTTGCAGTTATAATTTAGAGTTTAAATAGTATGTAGGAATTCAAAGTGTACCCTCTAGACTTCCAAGTTTATTCTCTGTATGTCAAATCTATACCTGTTTTGTTTTTATTCCCTGTAAACCAAGCGCTGCATTAGACGTAGCTGAAATGATTTTAATTACATTACAGACATAATTGTTATGTAATTACTAGAGATATGCAATATTAATCAGTGTGTTAATAATTAATATTATGGTAATATCAAAATTTCATCACAACTTAATCATACCTACAAGTAAAACAAGTGAGTGCATTGATTTTTTCTTAGTAAGTCAATGAGTGTGTGGCTCTATTAAACTTTAAAAAAATTAAACATTTGAAAAAATATATAAACATTTGAAAAAATATGACAGTAGATAGTGATTATTAGCTTTGATCTCACAATGATTGTGATTCATCTGTTTTTACACTTGGTTTATTAAAAAGTATGGTATAGGATATAGTATGTTCTAGGTAATAAGGTAATGATCACACAACATAACAAGTTATTTATCTGTACTGTGCTGTAAGCAACATCATTATTGTAGATCAATAGTTTCTTAAATTAAACATAAAGGGAACAATTTAGTATGTATTTAGGTATAGCAGGCTGTGTTGACGAGAACATGTCTGGCAAAGGTGCGTGCAATAAAATATCAGTGATATACGACGTGGCCCGGTACTATATGGGAAATACCAGCTGCAGCGCCTGTTGGTGGTTGTTGCTCAGCTGTAAAAGATGAATGATATTATAAATCATTTTATATCAGGTGTCTACAAAAGTTTGAACTTGTTGCGCTTGGGAATTTTGCATGTGAATGAGTTATGTGTTTATGCTGTGGCAGAGAAAATGGTAGTTATTGCAGCTTAACACCTTGTGAAGAGTTCGTCCAGGCCTGGGCTATCTTGAATAAATAAACGCACACGATTGATTCGGATGTAGGATTATTTAAAAAATATGCAGATAATCCGTTGTTGCGGATGCGGCATCCCTAGTACACTATTCGCTTATATGTACAAAACACCCAGAAGCCGAGCAGGACATATGTTTGCACGTGAATAAGTAAAAGTTACCCGCGTCATCCAGTAGTTTGCAAAGTAGGCATGGAAGGCCTCGTTGTAGGACAGGCCCTGGTCGCGCGCGATCGGCGCCACCTCGCTCAGCGCGAGCGGCACGCGCGCCGCTGGCAGCAGCGCCAGCGCGCCGTACAGCTGCACCAGGCGCCAGCCAGCAGAGTTGCGTCGTACCTGCCAGCGTACAGTTAAATGTCTCCTACACTAGTGCTCCCAAACAAAATAATATCCCAATCGGGCAAATTACGCCTCTTTTGCTAGATATCCTTTCTAATGCGCAACACCATTATTCCACTTCAGAACTCGCATACACCCAATGGTTATCGGTTCCTGACAGATGACCGCCACTGCCCCATCAGCAGTTCGACTTGCTAGTAATCCGAATTTTGTCAGCTTTGTGTGGTGATCTGCCGAATAACCTTATTTGGATTCTATCCCAAGAAAAACCTAAACATTGCTACGAGTCCTAAAACCGTAATTATAAAAGATTTATCACTCTATGCAGACTATCAATGAATGCAGAATCATTCTTTAAATTTAATATGTCTAACTGTAATTACTATCCTTTATTAAACCAAATGCGAGGCTGCATATTACTTTGCATTAAAGTTAACGAATATTTTTGAAAATAAGCACAAGACTTGTAAATAAATGTTATTATACTGTAATTGTGTCACAGTATACAAGAGGCATGATTTAAGTTTGACAACCCTACTCACCTGGATGCCCATCTGCCGCGCTCGTCTCAGCAACGCCTATAACAAACACAAAAATTATGTAATAAAAAAGAAAACCAATTCTATTACATTATTTCAATTATTCGTTAAAGCGTGCAATTGACATAAAAAAAAAGTAATTAAATACTAACCTGCACAAAATGAAAGAGGCAACCTTGTACTCGAGTGTGAGTGACAAATTCGAGAGCAGCCTGAAGTGCTCGTAATCTGTCACAATAACGGCCGGACGTGGGTTGTCAGCCTCCTGCCAAATTCTTTGCAAGACCGCTTCGTAAAGCGGCCTCCTCCTGTTCTCCATGAGAACCATCACGGGGTGGTAGAAGTGGCCTTCTATAACCACGTGAATTGTGAGAATTTGGTAGGCGGGCAACCCCGCCGCCTGGCTGCAGACTCCTCCGCCAGAGCCGCATCGAAGACACCATGGTCTCGTACAAGAGGTGCGGTGCGCCATCTGGATGTCTGTACATACAAAGTCAAATTAGATTATGCGGCGGAAGCATTGACCCTACCAAGACGGAAGGTAGGTATAAATCAATGCATCAACGAAAGGCTGACTGATGGAATCCAATCTTTTTTTTTATAATCAAGTGACAGGATGGAGAAGTCGTGCGCCTTATTTGTGAGACATAAGTTGACAAGTCTCATGTGCCTGTAATTTCACTAGCACCCTTACCCTTCAAAACCTGAACACAGTAATGCTGACATTACTGCTTGGCGGCAGAAATAGGTAAGGTGGCAGTACTACCCTGGACGAATTCTTTCACAAGGAGCTCTACTGCTACTAAAACAATTAGTTAACAAAGAGCGTCCTGGGTTTTTGAACTTTATATACATCACGAAACATATGAATAAACTGATGTAGGTACAAATACATTTATGATTTTTTTAAATAGAAGCTTTCATACCTTGTTACTTCCTCTCGGTATAAAGTATTCAAGGGAGTGCTCTCGGAAGCAGCTCTCCTTTTGAGAGCCTGGAACATATTGTTCCTGTAGAAATAAAATGTATTATTTTATTAAACAGTATCAAAAAAGTGACAATGGTGTTCTACAACAATCTTACTTACTTATATTGTTTTCTAAAATCTTACTTCTATATTCTATACTGACTGCTTCTTACTACTACTACTAATACTATTTACATAGTTTTCTAAAAGTACAAGAGGTAACACATGTACTTCTCTATTATACATACAACAATAATAGTTAATCACATTCATATTATTTCAAATTGTGTGAGTAAAATAAGAATGAGTCAAAGAATAGTATCTAAGTAAGTGTTCTTTGCAAAAGTCTCCAAAGGTAAAGTAAAGTAGTTACTGGGCACAAGGCAAGAACTTTATTTATTTTATTATACAAGTAGCTCCAAGGAAGCAAAAAAGGAAGAAAGGAAGAAAGCAAGAAAGGTTGATACAATATTCAGAAAAATGAATTACCTACTTAATTCTTCATATAAGACCTACATTAAGCGATTTCTGTAAGACTCGCTGAACATAAAAACGACAAATAAATTCACTTACCGGCTCTCAACCCAAGGGGTAGGGTCATGGTCGTGTACGCCAGTGATGGGGCCTGGCTGCCCATCCTTCATCGTCCAGCGTGCTGGACATCGGTTGCTGTGGCAGCGCATGTAGATGGATGCTCCCCGCGCTCGAGAGGCAACATAAAAGTGGCCATCTCGTGCGTACCACTGCGCATCACCTTTGAAGCTCTCGATCTGCATCCTCGAACTCTGAAACACAAGTTTAAAATTTTTAGAAAGCTCTAACTGTATTCCAAATCGCGCGCGATTCGCAACTGACGAAAATTTTAAAAAACTTAACTTAACTTTATCCTTAAATGTCCAGGTAGTTTGTGATTCTCAATTGAAGATAAGAGACATAGTGGCACACTGGAGGGGCAGTACACATGATGCAAGGATTTTCAGGGAAAGTCGAATTCGGCAACAATTTGAAAATGGGGAATTTAGTGCCCGTTTACTAGGAGATTCAGGCTATGGTTTAACAAATTATTTGTTTACACCAATCCAGAATCCCCGTGGTGTGAAGGAAGAGTCTTACAACAGAGCACACATATTGACAAGAAACCCAATTGAAAGGTGTTTTGGAGTATGGAAACAGAGGTTTCGTTGTCTATTGCATGGATTTAGTGTAACACTAAAAAATGTAAAATTGTACATTGTAGCACTTGCTATACTCCACAATATTGCCATCGATATGAAAGAAGACATTGATTTTCTTGAACCTCACTTGTCTGAAAATGATGATAATCAACAAATGCCAAGGAGAGATAATGATAGCCGATCTGGCCAAGAAACAAGAAGATTGTTCATTGAAACACACTTTTAGCTGTAGCATTGTATTATTTTAATTTAGATTTTAACAACAAAATTTCCAATTTTAATTTTTCAACTTGAAGGTCATGCTCTTCTTTAATAAAACTCTGAGCTTCTAACATATTTTTCATTTTTAGCTCATGTTCCTCCCTTATGCAATTGACAAGAACCATATGGCGCTCTCTTGTGAAGTCCCGTTCCTGAAATAAATAGTTTGTTATTAAATACAAATCACCATGCCATTAATTCTTTTACCTAAATTAAATGTTGCAATTTTATTTTACCTCACATTTTGCAGTCTGTTCATTATGCTTCATTTCATTAAATGGTAGTTTCCGTTTTGTTCCACAAGGTTTAAATAAATTAATCTTCTTCACAGGTTGTGGTGTGATATTCTGATACAAAAAACCAGACATATAAATAAATAAATAAGCAATTTTTAAATATTGTATGAATGTATAGAGGTCTGCATAATACAGACATTTATTAATAAATTTAAATTATCAAACCTCTTCCACATTCTCTTTCTTATCTAATGGAGTGAGAACATACTCTTGTGTTGACATGACACATTCCACCTCTTGATTCTAAAATAAAATAGAAAAATGTGTATTAAAGTTATACTTATATCATAGACTCATAAAGATATAATTTTGTAACTGTCTCACAATTATACTGTCTACATTAAATAAAATTCATGCAATGCACAATAATAAAAAAATTATAAGACCCTCACCGCTATGCTGTCACTGTCGAAGATATTTGAATCTGTTTCAAATTCCTGTGGAATCATACTTAAGATGTCTATTGTTTCCGGATCTGGGCTAGGAGGCTTTGGTCCTCCACCAGTACATTTGATAGATGTCTTTACCTGGGACATATTTTTTTTAGCATCTAATTTCATTGTACGCCATTGTTGTTTTATTTCAGCTAAATCTCTCTCCCGGCTATTTAAATTCATTAAATCTGAAAAACATTTTGTCTCAATTACGGTTAGAAGAATACAAGAAACATTAAACAAAAGGCGTGAAACGTGGTATTTTACAAACCTTTTTGTTACTGTGTGCCAAGCAATGGTCTTACTTTTATTGGGGCTCAACTGTACATTACCATCGCACGAGTTGAGAGTTGAAATTAATATGGTGAATAGATTACATAGTTAGCAGTGTAATCCTAAAATATTAGCTTTAGGAAACTCGTAGTTTTGATAATAAAAATTATTGAAATATTCGAAAATATATGATAGGAAACGGGTTTTATAGGTTAGGAAAGCACAGCGTTTGGTTGTTGCAGTATTTTTTTTGAAATA